GTGTGCTCTTCCGATCTCCCCAAAACCCCAAAACCCCAAATGATGGTATAATGACTAGATTTGCAAGTAAATGAATAAATTTACCCAATGATATTTAACTGATAAAAATAGTCGATTTCTTAACTATTAATGATAATTTATATTAATCGCTCATTTAGGAATATAAGGTTTCTTATTTGATAAAGTTATTATTTTAATTGCAAATCCTTTAAAAACATATCTTAAAGTGAGATGTAGAACCTATTCAAAAAGATCAAATGTACCTTTCATCTCTCCCTTATTAACCTTTCCTTTAGCTTAAATGATAGAAAATGTTTTCTATAATACTGACTTCTTAAAAAACGGAGGAACTTCCGAGCAGTTCTTTAACCAAATATCATATCCTGTGTAGTTAAACGGTAAGTATTCCTTCCAGAAATATCTCCTCTCTCAGAATAAATTTTAATTGCTATTGAATAGATCTATATGAGATCAGAGATACTTGCTATTATCATCAAGCTATGGAGTATTGTCCAGTGCTTATCGAAATCATGGATGAAAGACTGAAGACACACTATGGTGGCAACTTCTTGATCTAAGTATGGAACAAAAAAGGAGAGAAATGCTTTGAGAAAGTTTTACAATGTATTTCTTAATAACTTTTCTGATCTCTTGATATATAATTTTGGTATAGATAGAGTGCATTCATGGAATGTATTCACTGATCACTTCATTTACAGACTGCACCCAGACGAGGCTGGAGCAGAGTGGATCTACGTTCATGTAATGACAAAGAAGGCTGGTTACTTCAAAATCAAGGACTTCGTTAGAGATGACCCTTCTTGTAAGTATCTTTACCTCTCACCATTTCATCATACTCTCTTCTTACCAAAAAAGATATCCATTATTTATTAATAAAACATATTTCTAATAAACCTTAACAATAGTCAAGTACTTGGGAGTTTGTAACTGCTGCTTTTATATTGGCAACACCAACACAATTAAGGTCATTGACATTAACTTTGTGCTAGAAGATGGCGGATGCACTACTTTAGAACCCACTCCAGAAAAGATTTTGACTTATTAAATTGGAGAATAGTGTAAGTTACATGGATTTTTCGAGAACAAATTCGCCAAAGAGCAACTTTATATGATCTGCCTGGTCGAGACTGAAGACAACTAAATTGATTTTGCAAGGCTTTACTTCTGGAGCAGACAAATTGAAAAAGGAGATCTCGGTTTCCTTCAATACACTGAAGTAGTCCATAGAGATGTGAAACTTGATCCCATTATTAAATACAAGCAGATCATTCATTAATCTCAGTTCTAATTCGGAGTAGCACTCAGAGATTCTGGAAAGGTAGACTTTTATTGGAACTCAACAAGAGTTAGTACCTCCGAAGAAGTCTTCTCTGACATTGAAATAAACTTCGAAAGTATCTACTTGATCAAGAAAGCTTAAGATGGTGAGCCAGAAAAGAAAGTAGTCATCCACACTAAGTGGGATACTAGAGTCTCCATGATGGTAGCTGAAGACTTTACCTGTACTCCTCAGGAATGGACGAAACTCTTTTACAGATCAATTTCCAATCACTTCAAATTCTACCCTTCATATTGTCTCATCAACACCTCTTTCTTCTTAGCTCACGGAAATATCATTTCTCTGTTCGATATTATCAAAAAAGAATGGGTGAAGCACTTCTTTGTGGAGGAGAAGGTATTGAAGGTTTTCAGAAATGAAAAAGTTGATCATGTTTATAACCTTGGTGCTTACCTAGACAACGGCAGAATCAAGCTCATTGACTCAGAGGACACCTCTGATCCAAGCATGTGGGAGATGAAACTTAACAAGTACGGAACCAAAGGTGAGTTGATCTCAATGGCCTGCGATATGGAGCACTACAGAATGCTTTACATCATTACCAACGATGCTGGAACAATTAATCTTTATGGTTTCACCAGAGAGACTCTCTATATCTTTAACACTCTTGTGCACGAACTAAAGGCTGAGACTATCATTGTACCCTTCTTCTCACCTGCTGAAAGAACTGAGTTCATTCTCTACAACTAAGCTCCAGGTGATGTCAGAGTTTACACTCACTATTGGGCTAACAATGCTGATGGAGTGCTCACTTTCTATCTCACACTAGTCAAGCACTATACAATTGCAAACCCTACAGCTGTCAAAGGAAATGTTCATGCTTGCATGAGTACTGACAAGGAGAAGTTCCTGTTCTTGATTGATCAAACCAACTTCTACAAGCTTAATGTTCAAACAAAATAAATTGTAACATACACAGATTAGAATGTTATTGGACTTTAATTCCTTGATAATACATTCTGCTACACAATGACAAACAAATCTACCAAGAGAGATCAGTATGGTTTCTATGTTTATGACATTCAGTAATTGCTTGATCAAGAGAAGGATAACAACTTCATTCTTGATACATCTCTAGTAGGATAAAACGGCCTGATAGATTTCAGTGGCGATAACCAAAGACTTTCATACATGAAAGATTATGACACCATCTAAATCGTCCCAAGTTTACATAGAAATGTTATAAACTTCATGGGTATGCTTGATAGAAATCAATACTTAGCTACTAAGAAAATGAAGGATAAGTTCATTGCTCTTGACAAGAGAAACGTATTAACTACCTGGAATTCAGTAACTGGTAAATTAGAAAACGTCCAAAAGCTAAAGGATGTCGACCTATCTCAATACGACATTTTCGCTTATGAAGATTAAGATATCATTTGGAAAATGGACTGGTACCAACCCAGAGCTTTGCTGATTCAAAGAGATCCATTAGAAAACATGACTGATGATACATTCTATGATCCAGATATGCTAAGAACTTCTCTTGAGAATAACAAGCCATATATCAAGATCATGGGCAAGAAATTCCATAACTTCAAACTCATTGAGATCGTGAATGAATTTGAAGTAAAGGAACATTTTACCTTTATTCATCCATTCTATGGTAAAGGTTCTTATCAAAGAATCTTCATCAGTGAAAATCTAGAGTACATGTTTGAAAGACTTGTGAACTAGAGATGCTTCCTTTATCAGAAACACAAGGGAATGTTCTAACAAGTCAAATGGAAGCTCGCAAAGAGATTGACTCAATGGCCTATGGATATGAGTGAATGCACATACGCTAACTACTTGTTCTCTCCTGATCTAATGTACTATTTGGATTATGATAGAAAGAAGAATGAATTTGTAATCAAGGAATCACTGACTCAAAAAGTTAGACAATCTATTCCCAAAGGTCTAATGAACCCAGCTGAAGGTGATGTCAAGAAGTACGCTCAACATTTTAAGTGGATTGATTCAAGAACCATTAAATTCGTTAACAGTGAAGGTATTGAAAAAATTGTCGACATTATGGATGGTTTCAAGGAAATTGCTTACGCAGCAGTACCACTTTTTAAAGACGAAAAGGATTACAAACATTACTATTTCTACAGAAAGCCTTTAGAACTTGGAGATACATTACAAAGATTAAAGACTAAGTACCAGAGATACAAGGATGTTTATTACCTAGATAATAAGAGATAGCCATGGTAAATCTATGACAAACTATTTGATGTTGATTTCTCAATCGATGCTTGCAAGTACAAGTACGTTATTGATCTTAGTTTCACATTTTTGCATTGGAGACTTGCAGAAACTATTAGATCTCAGCCTGACTTTACTCTAGATGACATTGACAACTCACAACTTGAATTGTTAGCTTATAACATTTTCCCTTGGTGCAACACTGTTTTGCATTATGGTACAAAGAGATAAGAAATCATCAAACAAATCTATTAATAGTCTGAAGTTGAAAACGAACAGTTTGAGATTCCATTCATCAACAACTTGAATGGAGAATCACCTATGCATTAATGTATGAATGATAGGGAATTCAAAACAGCAGACCTTTTATTCGAGAAACTTGCTCATGCTCCCATTGATCATCACAGCAGAGCTATTGGCTGGACTGTCAGTATGGCTATTGATTAAGGACTTACAAATGTCAATGCCTATATTGAAGCAAGATTCCTTTAAACTGAGCAAATAAAGACAATAAGAAGAGGAAACTTAAATCTCTAAGGAAGAATGTTGTATTCCTAAACTTAAGCTTAATTGTGGATGGATGTTAAGGAGATAGAAACCACTCTTTTTAAAGAGTCTCCAGTTGAGCAAGATATTTAGTTGGAGTTCCTTGATTTACCCAAGCTACATTGCTATGGAAACAAAACTACTGATGCCTTTTTCGATGCTCTCTCAAACACAGATAGCATTGAGCTATTCGCTAATAGAGGTGTCTAAACTATTATTGACTATAAGTGGAAACTTGCCAAAGAATATACCATTAAAAGACTTTTTGTGCCTTTCATATTCTTCATGATAGTTTACTTTGTTTATTCTAACTTCATATTCCCAGTAAGATTCCATGAAAAAGAGTCTGAATACAATAAAATTGGTGATTATGATTACGCTTTCTATGTTTTAGGACCTTCTATCCTCTTGGTTTCAACTTATTTCTTGGTCACTGAGTTGAGATAACTATTCAGTCAAAATAACTGGGCAGAATACTTCTCTTCCATCTGGAATTACTTCGATATCATTCCACCTATTGTTATTCCTTTGATTGTGATCCAAGATTTCCTCAGAGTTAAGTATGACTTCCAGCACACAATCCACTCATTCGCTTCAATGTTCATGTGGTTCAAGTTCCTCTATTTCCTTAGAATCTACAAAGAAACTGGATATCTCATTAGAATGATTGTTGAAGTCGTGAAAGACATGAGAATTTTCTTCGTTGTATTGATTGTAGTCTTGTGCGCATTTGCTGATGCCTTCTTGAGTCTTTCAAATGCTAATTCCGATGAGAAAGTGTAATTCGCTGGAACTGATTTCTTCAGTGCTTTACTATATTCCTATAGAACTAGTTTAGGAGACTTCCAAGCAGAAAGTTACAACGATTCAGTTCAAGGACTATCCGTTTGGATTATCTTCCTACTCTCCACTATTCTTGTGCTTATTGTCATGTTGAATCTCTTGATTGCTATTATTTCAGAATCATTTGCCAAGATCAATGATGTTGCTGAACAAGCTAGTTACCAAGAGAGAGCTAGAATCATTTCTGAGAACTCTTACCTTATCCCAGCTGCTAGAGCTCTAACCTTCTCTGACAAGAAGAAGTACATGCTCGTTGCTAGAGAAATCGAGATTGACAAGAGTAGTAATGATGAGGTCCATGAACTCAAGGAAAGAGTTATCAAACTTGAGAACACTCTCAATGAGAAACTTGACAAGATTCTTGCTGCTGTCAAGAAAGATTGATTATTTAGTCATTGAACTCATCAACAGTGTTCTGACTTCTAATTTATTATTAGCAATCACAAGAAAACAAATGATTGCTTAAATTTAATTTCAAAAACTCTTAAAATCATAACTTCTTTTATTATTATTTCTTTATTTGAAACAATTTTCACTATTTAGACAATTGGGGTTTTGGGGTTTTGGGGTTTTGGGG